GATAACACATAAAATGTTCAGAACTGAAGCTTGATTCAAAAATAAAATAGGGCTTCGCAAAGGAATGTATTTAGTGTTTTGAAGGAAAAAAAACAACCTTGAGAAAAGAGATGGAGATGAGCGTGCGGATTGGATAGATCCGGGATTCAATGAAGGCTTTGAAATTGCGGACTTGAGAAGATTAACCGCGGGTCTGGAGAGCGTTCTGTAGCGAGAAGCCATTGTTAATTGCAGTTTGTTCGAGGATCGAATCAGGGTTTGGGTGAGGTTTTAGAAGATGTTCCTTGTTGGAACGTTATGCTTACAACGTTGTACTTTTGATAATTTGTTTTTGAGAAAACTTCTCAATTGGTCCCTAGTCTCTTGCTTCAGAAGCAAATTAACTCTCGACTTTTAAAAAAGAACAAATTAATCTCATTTTTACTGATATTTAATATTTTAATAATAGTTTCATCTTTTTGTATCATGTTACCTTCTTTCCAAATCCTACCAGATCTTGAACGTCACTCATCACACTATGTTTAAAAGTAAATTTACTAAACTGTATTGTTAATGTTTATAATTTGTCAAATCAATTTTTATATACACATTTAATGAGACCTGCAAGTATTAGTCATTCATCTGTTACTCGTTTATATCTATTTGCAATTTATTATAAATACTTCCAAAACATGCTCGAGAATGTGTATGATTTTTTTAATGATAAATATTACCTTTTCAACAATGTTGCCAATTATACTAGCGAACCATGGTGTATATATACAATTGTCCAACTGCTTTCTTTCTCTGACTTGATCAGTTCCACATTTGTTGTATTAAAAAAAAAGCTTGCTTTGTGATGGAACATTTGACAATGCCAGCGACCTCGTGAGAGTCGAGGGTGCATTATAAGACTGGATGAAAGAATCGAAAGAGACTCATTAACGGGGCTTTTGGATGCAAGAAAAGGGGAAATAGATACGAAGTGTTTAAAATTAAATATTAAGCTAGTATCTAAAATAAGTAACTTTTAATTACCGCAAAATGCCTTCTTTCTCAAATTAATAATGAAGTTTTGGTCTCTCGATGGCTCTCTATCTACTGGACAAGTAAACATTGTAGCCAAGTTCATAAATTATGATGTGCCTAAAACACAACTATTATAGGAAGGTCCAAATTGCACTATCCCTCACGTGCCCCTCTAAACTGTCCAAAGAATTTCAACCTCTATTTCTCAATAACTCCCAACTGTCATTAACTACTTTTTACTTCAAAAAATGTAGGAAAATTCTACTTGTACATAATTTTCATCCATAATGTAGAACCCACTTTTGAGTGGGTCCCACCCCATGTGAGTATTATGTGAACCCTAATGTACCCCTAGCACTTCTCAAAAATGTAATCCCTTGCAACTACTTCATCCCCACCCGATCATCACCGCCCGCAACGCTTAGCCGAACGCGTAATCTGAGCTCTCCGCCACCAACTCTGTCTCCTCCATAGGTTAGATTCCATGTTTTTTATATTAGGTTTAACATGAAATGTCTATACTATTAATTTATGCGTTACCCCATCATGTACTTGCCCTGATCGGGGTCCTCGGATGACTCCTTGCAAGCACATTTTATTCGTTCTAATCCGCGTATTGGGCGTTCAACTCGATGATTCGTGCTTGT